AGTAGTGAACAAAATGGACACCGTAATCGTGACTAGTACGTGAATAACCCCAAAACAAAATTTTTCACAGAAATTCGTTGAAGATGTTGGGTTCACACAAGATGATTACCGTAACCCTACCGTAATGGCAAAGAAATAAATCATGTTTTGATAATCAGGGTCTTCCATAACCCCTCTGGAGAAATTTTCGGAGACATATCTGAATTTTTCCGAAAAGATTGTCATTTCGGACAATACGACCCACGGGTGGGTCGTGAGTTTGACAAAGGAGAAAGATTCTGGTCCAAAAAGACAGTAATCGAAAAATCTGCTTTGTCGTGAATGTGTTAACAGAATCCATTCTTCCTAATTTTTTTCTATTTTTGATCTTTTTTCTGTAAAGTTTTAGTTTGCTAATTAATTACTTATTGAGTCACATGTTCATTGAGTATAGCTTCGTTTTGTCTCATTTTCTACCTATAGCAAGGCATTTGCATAAGGAAACTAATCCCAGATGTCTTCAGTTATGCGAACGAGTTGAAGACGGTTTGAACAATTTGAGGTCTGCGCTTGAAAGTCACATCACCAAGGAAGGTCTTGCAGCTATCGCCAAAGTTGCAGATACAGCATTTACGGTAAATCATTAATTCCTTTTGATCAATCTCATGGTTCTAAATTTGTGAACTCAGGATGCCAAATTGTACGTAACCACAATTCTGACTGTACATAATCGTTACTCATCGCTGGTTGGCAGTGCTTTCCAAAATGAATCGGGATTCATTCAAGCACTTGATAAGGTACGAGAATGTTCTAAAACCTTCTTGGAGTTTCACCGTCTTCGCATATTCGATTGCTCACATATTTAGGCCGCTACTACTTTCATCAATAAAAATGCGGTAACAAGACGCTCTCAGCAACAATTGAGCAAATCACCGGAGCTGTTAGCCAAGTAAGTTTTTTGGTTCTTTCACTGTTGAGTTGTAACCTGAGATTTTACTGTGATCGGTTTTATCACTATTCTGAATTCTGCTTACTAGATATTGCGATCAGCTTCTTCGAAAAAGCAGCAAAATGCCAGAAGAGAGTGAGCTGGAGGATATGCTGACCCAAGTTGTAAGCAATTAATTGACCATCTTCTGTTTTGCTGCTATAACTGCTTAGTTCTTCTCCCTTTTCTTCTGCGTATTTTCTCTTCTGCTCATTTTTCTTGCTTCAGATGGTTGTCTTCAAATACATCGAGGACAAAGATGTATTTTCGAAGTTCTACACCAAGATGTTCAGCAAAAGGTTTCTTCATTTTCTCTCCTGCATTTGCACCGTTCTCGAATTGTAGTGTTTAGATTAATATCGGAAACATCTGCATCTGAAGAAGCTGAAGTGAGCCTAATCAACAAGCTGAAGCAAATGTGCGGTTTCGAATACACTAATCGATTGTCGAAGATGATCAATGACACTCAGATTAGCAAAGTGAGTTTGACTAGTTATAATCGTAAAAAGAGGAAGAAATTTTCGCGGAAAATCGGAGAGAAGCGGATCTGTGGTAATTTCTGGATTCTTTAGGATTCTTGCGCGGAATTCCGAGATTACTTGGCTAATCAAAACGTTGATCTTGGCATCGACTTCAATATGCTTATCTTGAGGTAAGTTATCTTATACATCAGTTTACTCGTCTTTCTGATTTTTCAAGAATAATCTATGAAATTACTCCTCTTCAGTTCTGGATCATGGCCTGCACTACCGACTCTCAAGATGCATCTGCCCCAGAAGCTCAATCTAGCTATAGAGCACTTTACTTCATTTTATAACTCTAAGCATAATGGCAGAAAACTGACATGGGTAAGATTTGTCCCATAATCAAGGTTAAGCAGT